CTGATCCAGCAATTTACGTAATATCTGGCTTACTACACGCTGAAGCAGTCATACACAAAAAGGCACTTATCTTATTTGGAAGTATATGCAGAGCTGGATACACCTCCACTGAATGTAAAATTGCAGAAAGACAATTAGGAATTAAATGCATTAAAAGTAACAGTTGGTTTATTGCTATCAAAGCCATATTCTTGAAATATGAAATTGGTGATCCGTACATATAAAAAAGAAGATGTGGTATGATCGCCAATGAAACAACTCTCCACAAGAGACCACATGACACAGACATTAACAGCTATAGGTCACCGTACGGCATTCAGCAATGAGCAAAGCCCATACCGCATAGTCAGCTATAAAAGGCCCCGAAATCACAAATGTAAAACAATTCAATTGAGAAAACTAACTTTTCGATACAAATATGTCCAAAATGCAATGGAAAAATTTAGTGAAGCAGAAAGTCTGTAACTATTGGTCAAACCGGATTAAACAAGAAACTACAATTTTCACATCTTTAAAATAACTTGGAGGATTATATATACTATAGGCAAATGTCACCCAATAGCAAGAACCTTATCAATCAATATAAGAGACATATCTAGAATACCAGTCCGATTAAAATCCTAACTGGAACATACATTCTACAGGCGAAAAGAGCTGTGTGCAACAAAACTACACCAGATGGTACCTGCTTGATGTGCAAAAAGAATGAAGAAACTATGAATCATTTCCTGTTGATATGCGAAGAACTACAGTGCATACGAAAACCACTCATTTTAGATATAAGCATTGGTAGTATGCTGTTTGCAAGACAATAAAGTAGACGCCACATTTGATATTTCAACAATTATAGTCAACCCATATTTTTACTGCACACAGCTGAATTCTGAAGCTCTCATATCAGACATTGATACCGAACTAGAACCATTGTGTAGAAGCTTGTGCTTTAAGCTACATGCGAGAAGATACCAACTACTTGACCTAACAAAGAAGCCAAGTACTGTTAAATAACATTCCTTGATAGGGACTGATCGCATCTCGGTACTGTCCAGTTTCCCTTAAATTATACTTATATATAAATTATTTTAAAAGTATATAAATTATCTTAACTATTTCAAAATCCCCGCGATTCTGAGTTTTTAAAGTAGATAAGAGACATTCTGCTTAGTTGACATTTAGATTTTATAGCAGATAAAACATTTTAGTGTAAATAAACCTTGACAATTTATCTTATTGGTGATGGATTGGTGATAGAACTGTAAATAATTTTACTGTGTGGACCGTTTTGATATATTGGTGGATAGTTGCCATTTACTCCTATTGTGGAGGTGTTCCTGGATTGGCAGAAGATAGAAAATACAGATACAGATATGGTGTATTTTCAAACGCACAACTGATTAAAACTTTTGTTTCATAAATTTAGAGACGGACGCGCGCGGTTCCGTACTGGACGCGGGTTTAAACAAAGTACTTTTTTCTGGTCGACCTTTCACAACACGCGGGGAATCCGACGAACGAGGTATTAATTTGACGTGGCCTTGTATAATATTTATTCTAAACAGCAGGATAAGATTAGATAAATTTAGTTCTAAAATAGGACTCATTATCAGTAAAATAATTAGCACAATAAATATCTATAATATAGATACTACAACAGATACATAAGTCCTACAATTCGACAATTTTGAATGTGAAAGTAAAAATAAAAGACGTAATTTAAAATCCAATTTGAAAAGTAATAGCTATTAATAGATTGTGTGTTTTCAGAAATTGTAACATATATATTTCCTTTGCAATTGTAATAAAGGTATATTGTTTCAGTTAAGAGTGAAGGTTTGGTACCATTAAAACGTTTAAACCCGCTACAATTGTTTGCACCTGTCCTAAGTCAGGAATCTGATGTTCAGTAGTTGTCGTTTGTTGATGTGGTTCATAAGTGTTTCTCGTTTCTCGTTTTTTATATAGATTAGACCGTTGGTTTTCCCGTTTGAATGGTTTTACACCTGTAATTTTTGGGGCCCTTTATAGCTTGCTGTTCGGTGTGAGCCAAGGCTCCGTGTTGAAGACCGTACTTTGACCTATAATGGTTTACTTTTATAAATTTTGACTTGGATGGAGAGTTGTCTCATTGGCACTCATACCACATCTTCTTATATCTATAGAAAAGAATGTTTATTAGGTACATGTAACACACTTAATCTTTAAAGTTATTTCCTTAACTAAACCCATTTTAAATTAGAGTATAACACAGTTCGATGGATTTTATTGATTCAAAAACAAAGATGTATATCTAAAACGTAGGTTTGAAAAACTTTGTGTAACCATAGGTATTTTTTTTTATTAATGAATAAAAAGTTATTTGATATTGAACGTTAAAATATATTAGATGATGTCAATGAAATCCCCTTTAGAATACTTAGTACATATGCGAATCAACACCCCTTGCACAACACCCTACAGAATATAAATGTTTGAATTGATGAACGAAGAAGATAACGATATTTTTCTAAAAATTGGCTATATCTAAACATTTAAAATAAATATGGTTATGTAATAGAGAACGAGATACCGATTTCTCTATTTTAGAAGAGCCAATAATTTCCTGATACGTATTCATTTAAAATATAAACCAATTTTTATATTCAATTTCAAATTCTAACCATATATAAACACGCAAAGAAGATAGTCAACTGTAAAAAATTGGAAAAGGAATATTCGATAATCAGACAATTTAGAGAACAAGATAAATCAGAATCAGAGTATGCATTTGTCCAGTATATATAACCGGGAACAAGTGACGTTAGGGAACTTTTAGAAAGAATTCTATATGTTGCACTTTGTAAATACATCTGTTTCACAAGCCACGTCTCTTTTGGGAGATATATAATATTCATAGATAGTTTGTTTTGTTTACGTACTGGTTCCCAGATATGATCTCTGTTTCATCTCATAGAGACATAACTTGGAAATGTTACCAGTATAGAAACACATGGAAGCCCCGAAAATTTAATTATGAGGAAAACCAACAGTGAAGGTAGGGGTAGTACAGAATTTTAGTATAAGTTTAAACTCTTCGAAGTTCAGGGCATATAAATGTTGAAAATATGCCGCACAGCCCTATATTTTGACCTTTGAGTAAAATAGTAGTGCATATAAACTTTCCGTTCTAGGATATAATTTTTTACGAAACTTCATAGTAAAAGTGGCACAATTTTAGCCGCAAAGGGAGTTTCTATGGGAAATTGCATTGTCAATATTTACAGAATTGCAACCTATATTGGGTGAAAATATGCCGCACAGCCCTACATTTTGACCTTTGAGTAAAATAGTAGTGCATATAAACTTTCCGTTTTAGGATATAATTTTTTACGAATCTTCATAGTAAAAGAGGCACAGTTTTAGCCGCAAAGGAGTTTCTATGGGAAATTGCATTGCAATATTTACAGAATTGCAACCTATTTTGGGTGAAAAAAGAGAACATATAGAATTTCACCAAATCTGGTTTATCTCAGAGATTTAAATGAAATCAATTAAATATAAAGTTTTATAAATATTTCATGAAGATTGAGAAAATCCTTCGCCTTAACGATGATGACTCAGCAGAAATTACAGTTTACAGTATGCATAGTTTACTTAAAGCCCTGAATGCAAAATAAATTCATAATAGATGCATATTTGTAATTTAAATTGTTTAGAATTGCTTATATTTACTCTTCGCAGTCATTGAAACTCATATATCCTTCATGAATATTGTTTTTGGGGTGTTTTTGTCTTGTCGATAACCCAAAAGTAAGCCGTAACACCTGAATGTGCTTTTTTGTGACCGCGACATAAAATAATACAAGCTAGAAATACAAAATTACCTCCAGACAACTAACAATAGTGTGTTCTATCCTAAATATGTTCTAAATATTCCATATTCACAAAAACAGCAGAATAATTTAGCAAATTTGAGTGGCAAAAAACAGAGAAAAATGCCTACCCCCTGGGTCATAAAACAGATAATTTAACAGTCTCATTACAAATTTTGCAGATATTGTAATCCATAATTGCGACATCTTTTGGAGCTATACCTTCGGGAGAAAATATCATGTCTCAATGTCAAAAGATGCAAAGTCTTGGCCCGGACAAGGTTGAATGGAAAACAATTAAAAGAAAAAATACTGCCAGAACCGTGTATGTCCCTTTTTCGAAGAAGATCAGTGAGCTGAAAGTTTAACACAAAATAGTACTCTAATGCCTACTTTGCCAGGAATCTGAGTTTGACTAGATTGAAATGCATATAATGAGTTTGTTTCTTTTGTCCTTTGAGTTGAAAAGGGAAAAGTATTATACATTTACTTAATAGCATCCTTTAGATCCTTTAGATTTTCTTCAGACAAAAACAGACAGAAAAGCAATCAAAGAAATCAACACACTACACTGAAAATTAAGAAAGAGCAACACATATCTTATCAAAAACCTGCGGTAGTAACAAACTTCCTGCCACGTCCACTCTGTGCTTTTGTTAGATGTTTTTCTGCTTTGGATCGATCTGACGAGTTAAGCCCTTTTCAACTGATTTTTATAGTTTGTCTTTATGTTGTACTGTAACACCACTGTCCCAGGTTAGGGGAGGGTTGGCACGCCTTCAAACTAGTTTAACGCCGCCACATTCTGTACAAATGGAACGTATCATGGTAATCTATAACAGAGATATTCCATAACTATCATCCAAATCATATTGACCTTCGAAGAGGCGACGGCAAGTTAACCAAGTTAACCATAGCTACCTTTTACGCATCAATCCTCTATCAAAGAAATCATTTTAAGAAGCACAAGTCCTGGAATATCAACTAGGGGATACATATGCAGGAGCTGCTAGAATGTTAGAATGAAATGGAATGGAAAGGTTCGCTTTTTGATTGACTTTATGCCCTTAGTGGCTCAAGTTTAGCTCATAGCCAACCCTCAATGTCAATTTCATGATGCAATTATTGTGTAGATATGAAGCAGACCGAATTTTATATGCTAGTATGTGGTGTTCCAATTTCAACGAGATAAATGCGATTGATAGAGCATCATTTCGTGCAGAACGTGCAGTTAAATGATAATTCTTGCTTTTCATCCTTATTTAGGAGCCCATGTTGGGGGTCCACTGCAAGCGAATAAAGAGCGAATATCCGATTGTAAGATACAAAGGAACAATTATAATTTGTTATGCGTCTTTACCGCGCAAATACGTATAAACACATTAACGTAATTATCGTGGAGGTTCATTTTCATGTATAGACTTTCCAGAGATAAAGATATCGCATTCAACAACTAGTATGGATACGAAGTTTGATATGGTATCAGCCAATGGCATTTGGCAAAGGCAATTTCTCACTGAGGTGGATATCTGAGCCCTCAAATGTAATTATCAAGATTTGTATTTACTATATTGGATGAAGTGTTTTATGTAACATTTCACCAATAAATGTCATGTCTGCTATAAAGCAATAACCAATTGAAGGAGTTGAATATTCATGTAATAATTACTTAACATATTCCACAAAAGTATATAAATATTTTGTAGTTATCACAATTCCTCACCCCTCCCCCTACCTCCGGAAAATGGAAGACGGCAATGTTCACATTGATAGAATTTAATTTCAGCCGACAAAACTCTGTGGATAGAATTTCAGGAAATCTCAATTTTAGGTGGTAATGGAGTCTTTCGCCATCTTGGATTGTAAAATGGAAGAACATATTAATAGGTTTAGATATGCAATTAACTCAGCAAAGCCGACACAGGAATGCACTTTACTAGTTAAAATTTACATTTGAATAAACATATGTGTGTAATGTTATCTTATAATAGCCTATATATTTTTAAAAGTGGTATATTTTTGTTTGATTTCAAATTGATTTAAACTTAGCGTATAAGGGGAGGTAATTCAGAATTGTATAATTTATAATGGAAACCACATAGCAAATATTTCTATTTCATGTTATAGTAGGAAGAAAAAGACAGTGTCCCCATTTTTGCTTTTGATACTCTGAAAGCATTTAATAAGAGCTATCTTGTCATATTTTGTTTAAGAGTTCTATCATTTCTTTGTATAATTCATACAAAATGTGTTATTTTTTCACCACTTGTAGCTTGAAAAGAAACTCAGTGAACTATTATTTTTATTAAAATTTTTACACATCACACTATATGCTTCATTTTGGGAAAGTAAGAATTTTGTAAAGTATCATTTTTTCGTTTATACTCCAATACTACATAAATTGAGGTGAAAAAAACGTTGTATGGTCGCTTTTTACGTACAATATCCGTTATTATAGACCTATCAAATTTTAATTGATTTTAACTGGAAGTATAATGCAACATGAATGATTTTTGATATTCATTTTCAGTTTTTATTTCATAAAAATCCGAAATACCGCCGATTTACTTGTGTACTTCTAAATTTTATTTCATGTTTGCGGTCATCTGCATTATCACCCCAGTTCGTCATCATAGACGTTCCAGCAACCATGACGAACAACAGCAATACATTTTCCTTTGATAATTTTATATGGTTTCATGAAATTGTTGAATTATAATATATATATAAATATAGTCCTTGCCTATTTTAAAAAACTCAATATACTATCACCAATGTTTCTATTTATATACATTTGATAACTTATTCAGACATAAGTTCTGGAATTTTTTTTGCATTCTATCAAACTCATAGTTTACTATATTTAGTTTAATAAATTAGCTACAGGTATATTTCTAATTCAGTTAAAATTTCAAAAAATATTAAAGAATGGAGCAACTCAAAAAGGTATTTTACTTCCTTGAATGGTAACCATTTTTAGAAAAGAGATATGTATCGAATGTCACATAGCAACGTCAAATACATAATTACCAACACATTTCTTATCAATGCATTTACAACTCACTAGAATATGTCGACAGAATTTGTGATAGAAGTTAACAACTTAAAAAGGGAAAATGATACCATTCTAAAACAAGCAATTCAGGATGTATTAAAGAAATTAAATGTAAACATATCAGTGGATAACTTGGAAATAGAAGAATGTGGTGAAACAAAATCCGCAATAATATATTTACAATCAATCGATGAAGTACGGGAAATCAACGACAGTATAAATAATACTGGATTCAAATTCACACAAATAGCGACACCTTACAAAAAGATATCTGCTAAAAGGATACAAAGTAAAAGACCTTCAACTGTATATGTATATGAAGAATATCTTGGCGACGAAACGAGACATAGAGAATTTAAAGAAGGCGGTGGTAATATTGAAGAAAACTTTTTGAGAACGGGACAGAAAAGGTGTCTTGCAAATTATGCTTGCGGCATTGTGAACAACAGAGAAAAGGGAACGGTATATGTTGGTGTTAACGATAAAGGTAAAAAGTAACTTCTATTAATTTTTCAGTTTTATTCAGAGCTACTGTAATTCAGAAATGTTTGCGATTCTTTTATCATTTCGAAAATTGAGACGAAATAGGTTTCTCAAAAATAAAAACTCGTTTTTCGTTTTGTTCAGCATTATTGAAATCAGCATTATCTTAAGTCGAAATCATTTATCTCGTATTTATGTCTATTTTCCAATAATCGTAAAATTTCTGAATTAACAGTATTTTCTTTTTAAGATTTGGAACTTTTGGTAAGATGAATAAAAGAAGATGTGGGATATTCAGGAATGAGGATTTTGTAACATGCTGTCTCCAACTATTGACAAGTCGTTCCGAGTCTAGATCAGTAGTCCATAAATTCAAAACAATGCGACCTTGTCGAATACTTACAATCAGTACCGAATTGCAGACTGGACCAAACTAAGGTGGTTTCTGACGATCAGTAAAATAAAGAACACTATACGGTATGGGTTTTTTCTCATTGTTGAAGGCCGTACTGTTGCCTATAATTGTTTACATCCACTTCATTTTAACTTTGGTGGATAGTTGTCTCATTGGCAATCATACCACATCTCCTTATTTTAATACAGGAGAACGTACATACCCGTATTATAGACAACAACACAAGTCACACGTAAACAATATTAAACAATTCCCTATTTGAGAATGCTCGAAATTTCTGAAACCGAGCTTAAAATACTGACCTAGTGAGATAAACATTCTTGTCATCCTTCACTGTTTTACATCGTTCCTTGCATACAAGACTGTCTACATCAGATCAAACTTATTTATAAATAAAATGATTTCCGATTTCTGATTTATTTGTGTCGGTTGGGAATGTGTTGGGTTTACTATTTAATTGTCAATACCTAACTCATTCATTCTTCAGAAAAGGCCTGTGTCAAGGCAGTAATATGACAGTTGTTTTCCATTCATTCCGTTGTTTGATATTGTAGAGCATTCGATTTTGTAAGGTTTTATGGAATTCCCCCCTTTTTCATTCAACTTGGAAGGTGTAATACCACCATTGATTTCCCCTATTAGTCTTTGTTAAATTTGCAATTTTAAAAAAATTGTGCAGAATTTATCTTTGTTTCAAATAAAGAAATACTTAGCATGAGTAAAGTTTTATCCTGTCCAGTACTATAGACAAAATTTGACATAACATTTCATTGCATATAAGAAAATAACCATCACTGGAAGTTAACCAATCAAATTTTCACCCCTTTTTTTCCTGTGTACAAGCTTTAGTAACCATGTAACCTCAAGTTTCCAAAATATTCTATAGAAACACCAAATAAAAAAAAAATGGTGCTTTGAAACACCCAAGATGTATGTTTATGACTCAGAATTTTTTTACTGCAATGAAATGTAGGATTAATTTCCTACAACTGTGAAATTCAAGGGAATATTTTTTTCGACCCTTTTTCGTATTCAACCGGATGTGACGTACTATGATTTGGTGGTATTACACCTAAAATTCGGTAATTTTGTAAATACTTTATTTTCATCAAACAATTTCGAATGATAATTCACAATTTCGTATACAAAAAACCGTATTCTCTTTTGGGTACCGTCTGGAAAGACACACACCAACAATTTGTCATTGACATGAAATGGGTATCTTGTAAATAGTTATCAAAGGTACCAGGATTATAATTTAATACGCCAGACGCGCGTTTCGTCTACATAAGACTCATCAGTGACGCTCAGATCAAAATAGTTATAAAGCCAAACAAGTACAAAGTTGGAGAGCATTGAGTAACATTTGGGACACTGACGATAGTAATTCATGAAAGTTTATTGATTTTTTTTAAAATTCTGGTTTGTATAAACAGCCTCACAGCTTTGACTTGAGATCACCTGAAAAATATCTTCTATTGTTATTCTTGTTATGGCAATTGCTGTAAATTATTAGTTATTGTTACCAGTTCATGCACTAGTAAACCAATTTCGATCTGGAACGGTCTTTTTTAACAGATCTTAATTCACTGAACAATAAATATGTATAGTCTTTCAGTCAATAATCAGACTTACCCTTACGGTAAAATTTAGAGTTTTTCAGACTAATCCCTTGCAGTCGGTTAAGATCTGTTCAGACTATGTGCAGACTGTTCAGTAGTTGTTATTTACCTGTACAAAAAAGCATCATACTAAATTGTCTGAAAAGCTTCTGAACAGAACTGAATTGACCGCAAACAAATTGTCTTAAAAGTACCGAATTTACCGCAGTGGATAAGTCTGGAAATTGAATGAAAGACTGGACATGACTGAATAATTTAATGTTTAGAATTTTTGACGACGTTAATATTAAAATGTTCGTTTAAGACTAGTATTCATCGAAAAGTAATGGATTTAATCACACGCATTTTGTAGGGAAGTTATATATGTACTGGAAATTTACACTGTTATCAGGAGGTTTAGTCGAATTGATTGTTATGCTCCTGCAACACATGATTTTGTAATTTCAGTCCTGCAGTCTTCCTTTTGTCTTTGTTTACGGAGTAGGTTTTATGTTAAGTACCATGGAAAATCAGTTTAAGAATATAACAATTTTACAAATACACAAATATTCATTAAGTATGTGCAATGTTTCCTTTGTTATTCAGGACGAGTTGTAGGCCTGCGTTGCAATCATGAGAAAAGGGATCGTATAAGAAGACGAATTGCGCAGATAATGAAGTGTGATTTAAATCCTCCTCTCAGTACAATTCATTACAGTGTAAAGTTTGTACCAGTGCACAGAACAGATGGATATGAATCAGGTAAAAAGTATCTAACAATCATTTTTATTTCTCTTTTTGGAATCTTTTTATATATTTATTTAATAACAGAACCGATAAAATCCGTCAATAAGGCATACTGTCCTTTGAACTCGTAAGTTCTTTAAATGCATCTCATTTTGTAATTTCAATGCTCTCACACCAGCTGTGACAACAAAATATCTTCCATCAACAGTAAAAGAATGAAATTCAGAACAAAATGTTCTGAATAACGCATAATGATAATCAAAAATATAATGCATAATTCAGAAATCATTGACCCTCCACCGCCCTCCCCCTAAAAAAGGAAAATGTAAGTCAGATGGACACTATAATATGAAAAAAATTTCTGACTCTATAACTTAAGCTTAAGTTCAACACATACTTCCCCGGAAAAAAGAGGATGAATAGAAGTAATGTTACACAATGACCATCGCACACAGAAAATTGGAAACTTCGTAGATGCCATCAGGATACCAAATGGTCCCTGACTTTCATTTTACACTGGAAAGAAATTTGACAAATTTTGCATACATTTCACTGTTTGACAACCTAATATTACAGACATCAATATACTTACACTAAATGTATTTCTTGTAACAGGTGATATTTTTGTATTAGAGATCACATTTTACACCGTGGATAAATTTAATCAACTGTACACAGTAAACGGGGACGTGTATCAAAAAAGTGATGCCTGCCTATTTGGACCACTCAGACCAGCAGAAATACTAGAATGGGAAGCCCAGGTTATATATATTCTTACCAATAACAGTTATTCTAAATATTCTAAATCAGATTTGAATACTTAAATATTTCGAAGATCTGTAAGAGTGCATACAATCAAGTCTCTCTCATCTTGCAATATTATTACAACATTTGACTTTTCTAACATTTACACAAGACAAGTATTCCTAATTCCAAACTAAAAGACAAATTTAAAGGGTTGGTCCTGTTTTGTTATATATAAAAGAATGGCCAATGTAGAAACAAGTACTAGTATCTTGTCTTAGGGAGGGATAAATCGTACTTTGTAAAAAAATCACTCTTACTCGAACAAAACCTTCTCTAAAACTGACATTATCAAGATGCTGGATTTTTTGGTTGACAACATATTTGTTACGTTTCCAGGACGTGTTTTTCAACAAAAAATTGGGAATCTTCTTGCCGACTTGTTCCTTTATTCATATGAGGTTGACTTCATACAGGAGCTGCTTTGGAAGAAAAAAAAAGAAGCTTGCACTATCTTTTAACTTCACTTTCCGCTATATAGATGATGTCTTCTCACTAAATAATTAAATTTTAACTATGTTGAACGCATCTATCCAATCGATCTTGAACTGAAGGATACAATATATACAGTTAAGTCTCCCTCATATCGTCACTTACATCTAGAAATTGACAATAAGGGTTGGTTGAGAACAAAACTGTACGACAAAAAATGTTTTTAGCTTCCCAATTATGAACTTTCCATTCCCATGAATCAACATTCCAGCATCGACTGAATATGAAGTATATATCTCCCAGTTGATACGATATTCCAGAGCTTGGATTTCATATCATGACTTCATCGATAGAGGTTTGCTGCTCATAAGGAAGCTTTTAAACCACGAGTTCTAAATGGTGAAGTTGAAATCATCGTGTTGCACGATCTTTAGTTTTCGATGTTGTGTTTTGTATACTGTTGTTTTTCTATAGTCGTTGTTCGTTTTTTTTTTCATGGAGTTGTCAGTTTGTTTTGGACTTATGAGTTTGAATGTCCCTTTGATATCTATCGCCTCTCATTGATGTGTCCAACTCATCATCAAACGATCAGAAAAAAAATCATAGACTAGAATTTTGACACTCCCTTAAAACACCTGTATGTCTTTTCAAACCAAGACCGGGGCAAATCAAAGACTGAAAAATTGGTATTTATTGCCTCTGTATTTCTCCGCTAAGAACTAAGTAAGAGCAAAAACTGGTCGCCTCAGAGGCAGAATATTGTGTTCGGGGTCGGGTGAAATGTCTTCGTGAGAATTGTTACCTTGTGGACTAGCACATTAAACTGTCGGCTTAGAGGATCGGTCTAGTTCAAAGCAGGGTTTCTATTTATATAAGATTATCAATTTCTCCTCCTAAATATGCATTTAATTTGCCACTGGAAGTTTAACAGCCATCCGTATTTCCGTATTTCGATCCAATGACTTAGATTTAGTTGATATTATCATTGTTTTATTTTTAAAATTGATTATGATTATATTATTACTAAAAGTAACATTAGTACTAGTTATAGTAGCATCAACAGAAGTTATAATACTAAAGTAGTATTAGTAGTAACAGTAGTAGTAGTAGTAGTAGTAGTAAGCTCTTAATTTCTTGCATCAGATAGAATATACTAGTCAACAAAAGAAACGATACAAGGCAATGTATTTTCCATATATAATGAAATTGGATACACTGTACCAAGGTAAAAAATTGCCCAATTGGTCTAATATTTACAGAGTGTTATTTTCTTATCAAAACCATTGATTTAAGGCAAATACGCAAAATTCTTTTTTGCAATTTTTGTTATTTGAAAAATCGTATTTTCACCCCAAAATTCAAAAATCGACATTAGAACTTAAAACCTTAAACTTAAACATGGTCTGCCTAAAATTTTGAATGCCTGTGCAGATATTTGAATACTTAATTCTCATCTTCGAAATTAAGTGCCGACTATTGTCATCATTTTCCGCAAAATAAATTTGACCCTTGTGTTCAATAACACGGTATTTTCTCACTTTCCAATTTGGTCAGATAATTTTAATCATATACATTTGCTTTGCAAATGAATGCTTTTCATTGGTTATTTAACAGTTTTTCCTATTTATTATATTTTGTGATAAATTAGAGTTCAAACTTGTGTATCGTTACTTTGTTGACTAGTATGTTTATTCTAATGCATACAAGGTGCTTTAATTTCTTCAGGCATACAATGTTTATGATTAGATATATATATATGTAACTTGGGAATACAAACACCATTGAAGATTTTCTTTTTAATAAAATAGTTATGTTTCTTTTACAATTTACGTCATAAATGTCGTGTATATGCCACGTTCCTACGTCAAAGAAGAAAGCATCCCTACCAAACAAAAAGAGTCCCCATTTTTTCTTTTTCTTTTGACCTCATCCAAGCCTTTGATAAAGGTGTATTTCTTTAAACAATTGATGGAGCCACTAAAGAAATCTAATTTCGATGTATATCAAATGAAACCATTTTCCACGAAATGATAATCTTATATTCTGTAAAAACCGTTACATCAACGAAAGTGAATACATACTGTTCTGTAATAGATTCTTGATTAAACTGGGTTAGCATAGCGATCACTAAAATCCAAACGAAAAATAGGTCAAATTTTTGGCTGTGATTATATAATATCCTTTTAAATGTTTTGTAGATTAGACATAAACAAATGAAAGAAGCAAGAAATATTGAACTTCAAGAAATAATTGAAAAATATGAAATTGATAAAGCTGAAAAGAAACGAGAAATAGATATGTACAAGCAAATGAACGAAGAAGAAAAAATACGCAGAGAAGAGAAAGAACTGTCATTCAAACGAAAAAAAGGAGAGTTTGAGACAGAAGTTTCTAGATTAAAACAGATACATGAGGATAAAGAAAGATCATTTAAACGTAACACTGATCAATTGATTGCTGAAAGAGAAGAGAAGGAAAAAGAAAATTATCAATTACAACGTGAGAAATCAAAACTTGTAAAAGAAAATAAAACATTAATACATAAATCCAAAGTATGTGTACTTTTGTGATAAACGGATAAATATTCTTGATAGTACTTCATATAATGACCTTCAAAAAATAAAACCCCAAGGGAAGATTGCGTATAGAAGTATGGCTATGTCCGACAGAAGGACATATAACAAAAGTGCGTCTGTTCTTACGTCAGGTCCAGTCGTGAACCTGACATGCAAGGCAAGTGTTTTCAGGCTGCAAATGCACACAAAAGAACCCAATTCGCATGGGTTAGTAGGTGGTGACCTATTGTAAAGATCATACCCAATACGTCCTTATTTTTTCAGCAGCAAGCATGATGGTCTTCTCCATCTTAAAGAAACCGACTTTTAAGATTTTACCGATGGTACCGAAGCTCTAGTCTTGAATCGTTAGACATAACTCAGGTTGAATGTTAAGGAAAGGGAAACATGCTACACAGAGGAACAAGTGATCAGTATGCTGGAGTTTCTTATCGACAACATTTTTGTTGAATTTGGAGGTAGATTTTTTCAACAAATTGTCTGCATTCCTATGAGAATGAACTGTGCGCCTCTCCTTGCCGACCTCTTCTTATTTTCATATGAATCGGATTTTATTCAGACACTTGTCAAAAACAAGAAGATCAAAGAAGCAAGGTTATTTAATTTCACTTTCAGATATATTGATGATGTTCTTTCCATTAACAATCCGAACTTTTCTGATTGGGTTCCATTAATATATCCCCCAGAACTAGAAATTAAAGAAACAACAGACACGGCTTCCTCCGCCTCATTTTTAGACTTACACCTCGAATTTGACATACACAGTCATCTCAGTATCAGAATCTATGACAAACGAGACGATTTTAATTTCAAAATTATCAATTTCCTCCACCTTAGTAGCAATATACCAACTTCACCTGCATATGGGATATACATTTCCCAACTTATTCGGTATGCAAGAGCTTGCAGCTCCTACTCAGACTTTGTAAAACGTCACCAGTGTCTGAGCAAAAAGTTGATGAACCAGGGGTATGTCAAAGAACGTCTCGTCCTTTTTCTAAAAAAGTTCATCTGAAAGTACCAAGACCTTGTTGATAAAAACTCCGTATCAACTTCACAAATAATACATGATGGTCTCGAAGTATAGATTCTGCGTACTGACGCTGTTTATCATATTAATAACGTGTTAAAATGTTCTTTTATTTGTCTTTATTAATATTACTATTACTGTTTGGTCTGTTTTTGGTGATATACATTTGACGTGGCTCTGTACTTATGCATCCTGTCATTGTGTTGTTTGTATTATTTTTCATTTTTAATTGTGTGCTTTGTCCGTGTGACTTTTTATGTTTCTTTGATACATATGACGTGTCTCTGTACTTTAAACATCCCGCCACTGTGTTATTGTTCTTTTATAATTTTTGCATACTTTGAACAACAAAATTATTTTATATCTTAACCTGTGTGACGTTTACATTCTGACGTCAAACACGCGATTCTGCGCCAGAGTTAATGTTAAAATTACGATTCGGTCCCAGTGCTTAAAATCCCTCGATCCGTTATGGGTTGATTTGGCATACATTAATAATATACAAAAACAAGTAAGCAATGAACGAGGTTGTTAAATGTGATATATGCTTTTTTGTGCCTCTTTGTTAAATATTTGTTTGTTTTTGTTGTGATTAAGATTGTGATATGGTGTTGACTGCTGTACCCCTATTTTGACATTTTTACCTATTATGTCTGTTTGTTTTATTCACGCATCGTTGTCAATATAATGGAATTTGATGCGACTGTCATACAAGTGAGAGGTTTAGCGCTATAAAACCAGGTTCAATCCACCATTTTCTACATACGAAAATGCCTGTACCAAGTCAGGAGTATGACAGTTGTTGTCCATTCGTTTGATGTGTTTGTGCATTTGATTTTGCCATTTGATTAGGGACTTTCCGTTTTGAATTTTCCTCGGAGTTCAGTATTTTTGTGATTTAACTTTTTATGTGTAATAAGACAACTATAAGGCCCCATTTTAAAAAAAAAAAAAATATTATAAATCAATCAAATGACATTCAGATGTTCACAAGACATAGTTCTGTCAGATATTCGTTTTTATATTTTTGAATTGTGTCTTTCAGTTTTGTTGTAGAGTTTCAAACTAGTTGTATTCTTTTCCAACTGCAAAAACTGCCAAAATAGACTAATTTGGAGAATTAATACTTAGATCATGACGAGACAAGGTCTTAGCATAAATAGATATTTTATTATCAGATGTTAATGGTGGAAGAATACTGTTGTATTTTTTGCAAAACCTTGGCTCATTTCTAAGTTAATAAAATACTATGTATAAAAATCAATGTTTATAGAGGATAGCTGCTCATAGGAAACGTACGTTGTCTTCAACTGTTCCAGCAGCAATGGTAGAGGCGTTATCAGTTCTCAAATATATCGTCGATCTTTTTGTTTGTCAAATCATTTCGCTTGCGTATCCACAATATGAAGCCATCTTTTTTGACTAAAATTGTGTAATTTAAGTGAACTCATAAATTTGATGCGAAACCGAAACCGATATTGAAGTTCTAGTAAGAGCGTTACCACAACTTTTTTATTTGAAGGCAAGCGAAATTTTTACTTTATTTATATTGAATAAATAACAAAAGAGGCAAATTCTTAAAAACAGATATTATCTGTGGTTCTATATTATAATATAATGATTTCTAGAAAATCTACGTGACAATTACTGCATGAAAATTTCCGGCATATTTAAAAAACAATTGCAAGTCATTCATTTTTATTTCAACTATAAGTTCAATGATTAAATTGAAAAACTGAAAAGATTATTTAACTTTCATGAGTAATAACAATTTTTAGAAAATAGCTATGTTTTGAATGTCACATAGCAACGGTCATATAAACATGATCAATACATTTCTTATAAATGCATTTTAAAAATCTATAAAAACATGTCGACAGAATTTAGGATACAAGGTTAGACTTAAAAAGAGAAACTGATAACATTCTCAAAGACACAATTCAGAGAGTATTGAAAAAGAAATACAATGTAGATATATATCTTTAGATAAATTGGATATAGACGATAGTGAAGATTTAAAAAAAAACTGCAATTATATATTTACAATTAACCAATGAGGCTACCGAAGTCGTCGAAAGTATAAATAACAATGGCTTCAAGTTCACCTTATAATTCCACATATGATAACAGGATACACAGTAAAAGACCTGCGAATAGATATGATTTTAAACAAATTCTTGGCGACGAAACAAGATACACAGAATTTAAAAAAGGAGGTGGTAATATCGAAAAAAACTTTTTAAAAACGGGACATAAAAAATGTCTTGCACATTATGCATGCGCTTTTATAAACAACATGGAAGAGGGAGCGATATATATTGGTGTTAATGACAAAGGTAAGAGGAAAACGTTTTTGAGGACTTAGGAATTCCATATCTTATTTTTTTCGTTGATAAAACTATGTAAAAGGCCATGCATGCGATAGTAAATAATCAATAGACTGTTTTATGGATAACTGGAACCCCCCTCCCCCTTCCAAAGAAAATGAAAAGAAAAAAAAGAGGTTCCTGACTGGACACATTCATCAACATGCAAAGACTTACCGGGTTCAGTACTCCATCCCCCCTTTTATTTTCGATCCATTTTCTGGAGAAATATGTACAGAACGTATAATAAACTCATTTCATGTACGTAATGTATGAGCAACAGTAGTTTACTGATTTTCAAATTTCATAAATCGGTAAAGAAGATAAAAGGTATCAAACAAAAACTGATGGGATCGCATGAGATCCAAAAAGAGCGAGACCGGGTATGTCGACACGGTAAGCGTTCACTAATATGAATGATTCACGCGTCATGCAAATCTACACTCAGTCAAATGATGTCACAATCGAGAATCTGACATAATAACATAAGACAGACATAAGACATAAAGCTTTATTTAGAGTCGGTATAAGCAATACAATTACAAGCATAAGCTCTGAATGGCTTTTTAAACCGACAGAACAAAAGCACAACAAACAAAACATACATTTCAAGTCATGCACACATACAATTAAACACAGAAAGCAGGAGTTCATATTAGCGGTAACAGTTTTACTGCACCAGATGCACAGTTTAATAATTATTGTCTCTTCAGTGATTTTTGAGGCAAACCTCATACAAACGTCGAAGAGCTGATAAAGCCAAAAAGGACCAAAAGTTAAGCCAAGGACAAGGAATGAGAGCTTTGCACGAAAGAGATACATTCCCTGATTTAAAATGTTTTTGAAATTTTATAACAGCAATTACAATCAAGTCGCATTTTCCATGCCAGTACCGAAGTACCCTCATGCTCTAACATCGGTAAAATAATAGATCAGTAGGCTATTCTGTATCAAAAGATTTAAAAAAGACTAAAACCATTTCGCTAGTGAGACGAGACGTATACACATCGTTTCTGACAACCGATTCGTGATTGAGACTGTTAAACTTAAACGATTGGGCAGAGGGTATTTTACTAAGAGAACTTGGAAGGTGACAATTGGAAAGCTGAGATCATCACGTTTGTCATGGAGTCTAGTTTGAATTCGTCCATCAATATCGAGAAAAAGATCAAGATATGAAGTAGACTTTCTAGTTTCGATAGTATCGTTACTCTCATGTTTACTGGTTCTATGGGATGCAAGCACTCACTCAAGTCAGGAATATGACAGTTGTTATCCATTCGTTTGATGTGTTTGATCTTTTGATTTTGCTATTTGATTAGGGACTTTCCTTTTTGAATTTTCCTCGGAGTTCAGTATTTTTGTGATTTTACTTTTTAAATGTTTGATTTTGAGTGACAAGATATCATAAACATATCTGAAAGTGAAATTTAAGAACTTTGCAAAATGTTTTTCTTTTTGTGTTTGAGAAGGGTTTGTCTGAATTCTGCTTCGTGTGAGTAAAAAACAAGTCGGCCAGTAGGATGGCACAAATAATACCGTTGGAATACTGACTGTCCGCTGGAGTATCATTCTACCAATCTCAACTATGTTGTCGCTCACAATTTTTGTATAATATCTTGTGTATTTGTTGTGGGAATCCTGATCAGGGACATTTCAGCATCCAATAAAATCTTAAGCTTACACAAAGGTTTGGTATTTTTTACTAGAGACTATCAAAATAATTGTCGAGCACACTGCGATTTATTTCCGAAATAATCCTGACATTCGATGTTCTAACTATATCATTTCCTGACGTAGTACCGAGTTTATGCTGCGACCAGATTTTGAACATTCCATCTCTTAGCATAAGAGTACCATAGTTTTCTTCATGTTTTCGATAAGAATTCGTAAACTGATAAAATATTTCATCATGATATCGGCTATTTTTTTTTTATCCAAACACGCATAATCTATGTTCGCGGACATCTTTTTATATTCAAAGTACCAGTATTGGTTGATTAAAAACTTGCACAAAAAGTCACCCGAACAAGAACCCTTATTGGGTGTTTTCAGATCTATACGATCGAAAAATAACCAAATATAATTGAGCAAAGTGAAAGATTTGTTTTAATGAGATTGTGACATCAAGAACATCCAATCAGGATACATATTGAATCGTTTTAAAAATCTTGGCTACGTATGTCAAGTACTGTGATTTTGTTGTCGAGCCTGCGACTTCTGTCGCAGAAAACTCGACATAGGGTTAGTTATCTGGCGGCGGCGGCCACGGCGGCCAAGGCGGCGTAAACTAACTACTTAAAAGCTTTATATTTTAGAAGGTGGAAGACCTGGATGCTTCATACTTTGTATATAGATGCCTTATGTTATAAAGTTTCCATTTGTCATATGTCCATTGTCCTTGACCTCATTTTCATGGTTCAGTGACTACTTGAAAAAAAAGTTAAGATTTTTTGTAATGTTAATTTCTTTCTTATTATGAGTAAAAGGATAATTATATTTAGTATGTGCGTACCTTGCAAGGTCCTCGTGTCTGTCAGACAGTTTTCATCTGACCTCGACCTCATTTCATGGATCAGTGAACAAGGTTAAGTTAAGTTTATGTGTTTTTGTCTTTTTTTCTAATGCTATATGCAATAGGTCAACTCTATTTGGTGAATGGAAATATTTTACGATATACATGTCAGTCTGACAGGTTTTAATTGACCGTGACCTCATTCTCACGGTTCATTGCTCAGAGTTAAGTTTTTATGTTTTGATCTGTTTTTCTTAAACTATAAGCAATAGGTCAACTATATTTGGTGTATGGAAGACTGTAATGTGTATATGTCTGTCTGGCAGGTATCATCTGACCTTGACCTTATTTTCATGGTTCATTGGTCAATGTTAAGTTTTCCTGGTCAAGTTTGTTTTTTAGATACTATAAGCAATATGTCATTATATAAAAAAAAAGGAGATGTGGTATGATTCCCAATGAGACAACTATCCGCCAGATTTCAAATGACGAAGATAAAAGCAATAATAGGTCACCCTAAACCCTTTGTTATCCAATAAAAAATTCTTGTTTACTAGGTTAATGAGATAATTAAAGTTCTGATATCTAGGGGAATCAATAAGAATTTGAACATACACGAGCACCACGACGGATGCCAGATGTGGAACAGGATCTGCTTACTCTTCCAGAGCACCTAAGATCCCCCTAGTTTTGTTTAAAATGGGTTGTGTTGTTTGTGCTTTTTTTTATTGTTCAATGGCTGTGTTGTTTATACCGGTTACAGTCTTGTCTATTTTATGTCATGAAAAACGATGTCAATTTCAAAAATTCACATTCGGTAAAGTTTCAGAGTTAAAAAAATTTACATGACCGATATCGATGTTTTACGTAATTGATGATGTTTTAAGGTTAGATAAGAGTCAATTATCAATCCGCTATTCCGTGATGTCTGATAACTTGATATAACTTATCAATGTTGTTTATAGGAGTAACACGACGGGTATCTGTGAACCAGTTTCTTCTAACCTTTTCAGAGCACCTGAGATTACCCCGGTTTAACGTGGGGTTCGTGTTTTTCAGTTTTTATCTTCGACTTACGAGTTTGAATATCCCTTCGGTATTTTCCGTCTCATCGTTAAAGCGTGATAAGGGAGCCAACATATCAAGAATACGACAAAGTGTTGTAGTACAAATAACGAAAATGAGTGGTATACGTAAATGAGACAGCAACCCAACGACAAAAATAACCCAAAGACATCTAGAGGACAACGCACAGTCTTCTAACATGTGTTATTGAAGATATATGAGTATTTAGTCATTAAAACTAGACACTATATTTCAAATACAATAATAATTTGAAATTCTGGCATTGAGTAGTATTGATTTCTTTTGGTAGGAAGCAGATCAAAATACAATTGCTTAGACATGTTAGAAAAGAATTTAATGATATTTTTCAAACATGTTTTTTTTAATTTCTAGATAATGATTTTAACATTATCAGGATTATAACTGGATGAAGTATTTATTTGTGATGATAACAACACTGGAGCTCTTTTCTGCATTAACCTTCATCGGGTATGCTAAAACCGAAAAATATGAAAGCCAGCATGTATAACTACTTAAATACATGAAGAACTATATTGACAACTATTACAGAGGTTATTCTTGTAAGAAAGAGGGTTAAAATGCCGCAACTATTCAAACGTGTTGTAATATGTTTGATATTAAAAATATTTGGTTTATTTTTGTTTTTATTGGAAATAGAGTTTAAGGCATATTTATTATATCTGTAATAAATATATGGTTACACTAAGTTTCAGTAACACCCATGATAAGATATTATCTAGTTCTGTTTTCCTTAATTTGTATTGTACAGCATATCTTAGTTACTATCGAGGAACAATTAATGGGTTATGTCACATTTTGATTTAATTCTACTTGAAAATTAGAAAAAAATCTTTTAACTCGTATACCTGCTAAGGTATTATTGAATAAATATTCTTATAATAGGTAAACATTTGTATAGAATGTATGTAATATCTGCGGAAAACTTTTTTTCAAATTATCTTTAAAAACTTCTTTCTCAATGCCCTGTTTGTAGATTTTTCCCTTTCAGTGATGTTAAAACACCATAGGATCACCGAATTAATTTTCTTTTGTACAGGGTCATCTTTCAAATTTGTGTTCAACAACTAAACGTCTAAATAAGAGTAACGTCGAACGTTATATAAAGTCCTAAAAGTCGCCTAAAAGTCGTTTTTAACTATCAACACGGTAATAGATTTGTTTTTTAATACATCAAAAAAGAAGTCTATGATCATATGATTTTTTGATATCAATCATACGGAAAATTATAGAGCAGCAACATATAAATTATAAAGACAAATCTTTGGAATGGTTTTGGAGATTTCATGATTTGAGACATTTTAACATTTTTTTCGATTGAACATGTATTCTATACAAATTTACATCTATTAAAAAAATCATTTAATCATATATAAATAAAATATGCATTATTCTATTTCAAGTTTTACGTGCAGCAGTTGTATGAAAACTCATACAAAAAATATGACATGACCCATTAACTTGATCCCAAGTGCTCATTCATGAACTGAATCAGATCTTTATTTTCTGTTTTTTTTCTTTTTCATTTTTTTTTTATTCCTTACAAAGAGACAAAGTGAAGTGGAAGAGTTTAACGTTGAAAGCCTGTTGATCTGCCTGTCCCATTGTTTATATTTTAGTGTTTTGTCCATTCAGGAGCTTAGTTAATAGCATATATATAGAATGCTCTGTTGAATTCATTCACATTGTATTGAGCCCCTAGATGTTAACAACTAGACATATGTTATATTTCCACTACTGGAGATTTAATTGAATAAAACATTTTGAAGGAAAATATCACAACAATTTTTAACTAATATTGGATATTTATCCCAGAATGAAAACCCCCTCTCTTAAATGTTACAAATTCAAATTAAAACGGTAGTTTAAATATTAAAACAAGTTTAAATGCTCCACAAGTACCCTGATTTAATAAAATATGTCGTAAAAATTATAACTACACTTTCTTGACAGTTCTACCTCTTCCCATTTGAAAAGCAAAAAACTATCCACAATATCTTGTTTGTATTCTGATTGAATTACACATGTTAGAAAAAAGGTAGAGTTTGTCCCCTACAATCGAAAACTGGACCCGTTTAGATTTGAAATTCTTAATTAAGTAACAATAATACAAAAGTTTCCTGATTGTGAAACACTAGTTTGAAAAGATGTTACAACAATTTGCATAGCCATAGTAGTTTCAAACCCTTACAATAAATAACTGAAGCTTCTCTCCCTTTTTGTCAGAATTTCAAATTATGAAACTATTTCAAATAAGTATCCGAAATGAATAACATACTTTGGAAAATATATCACATAATTTGTCCCAGCAGTGGTCAGAATTTTAAAAACTCATAGTATTTGCAATATTACATCTAGTTATTATTCTCTAAAATATAAACCTTAATGAATAAAATATGCTACAAAAGATAACGCGATACTTTCTTAGCATTAGTATTTTGGGTCCTCTTACCATGAAAAATAAAGCACCCTTGTATCTCACAATTAAATATATTCATTTGTTCTAGTTTTAGTTATAACGTTCCAAAATATATCCTTACAACACATTTCTACATTATAGTTACTTCACCCCTTTATGGGAATAATGCCCCCGTATATGAATGAATTGTGATTATCATGGTTTTGAATCCTCAAATAAGTATCCTTTATTTAAAACATATGTTGAAAAGAAATCACAAAACTTTCTCTAAGCCATGGTATTTTTATCCCTTACCGTGGAAAAATTATCCCCTATCAAGTCAGAAATATAAGATACTTTCGGTAAAAGAGACTGATTTATAAATTGAAAGTTTTTTTTAATTGAATGATTTTTGATGTAGGAAACTACCTTCAATAATCGCATAAAGATCTTTCTTAGCGAAATGTCATCTTTTTCTATGAAAAGAGGGTCTGAAATGTCTGAAGTTGGGAAAGTTCGATGAGAAAGCTGTAAAACCTCATAACAAATACTAGGCTTATAAATTGGTACACCAGACGAGCGTTTCGTGTACAAAACACTCATCAGTGGCGCTCGAATCAAATTTGTTAAAAGCCAGAAGCAAGAACGAAGTTTAAGAACATTGAAAAACTAAAAACCAAAATACGGCTGCGATCATCTATACGTGGGGGTAAAAAAAAAAACCGTTAGTGTTTCGAATAATTTAAAGCTTTATAAATAGTTGATAGAAAATGAACGTATCAATGATATTTCTTTTCAACAAAAAAGTGCTGACTGCTGCGCTGGTGATACCCTCAATTACGAAACCTTCACCAGCAGTGACATGGACCAAGTGGTTGTAAAAACTCATTAAAACACATGGCTTATAATTTGGTACAGCAGACGCAAGTTTTTTTTCTACGTTCTCGTCAATGGTGCTCGATTAAAAAAAATCAGGTGCGAATTTGAAGACCTTTGAAAACCAAAAATTCCAAAACGTTTTTGCCGAATACAGCTTAGGTCATCTAAGCCTGGAGGTAGAAAACCCTAAGATTTGTGAACAGTAAATTTACAGAAAATGAACGTATCAATGATATTTCTTGACACCACAAAAGTGCTGACTACTGGGCTGGTGATATTTAAGTTTGTATTAATTTCAATTGGGATTTAAAACAGTGTTTGCAAAATCTATTCTATACATTGTATTGAGTTTAGAAAGGGTTGGTGAATTTGGTTTCATGCGAATTTTATATGTACCCAACAACTTCTTTACAAACAATAGAACGGTATTTTTGAAAACGTTATGATATGTAGATGATGTATAGTAACGATTACCAGATAAAGGAGTAGAATTAAAAGTATCTATTACACATTCCGAGTTACAAGACTTTACTATAAACTTTGTCATTACAATCCTGGAGAGAGAGTGTGTGTATATATATATATATATATATAAACGCCTAAAAAGTGTACACAACAACACCAATAACAAAAAAAGGAACTATAAATGTAATTATTTATAAATATTTCGGATAACAGATATCCTTCATCAGTAAATATGATTGTGATGTTGAATGAATCATATATCAGTCTACTTAAATTAAACTATAACAATCTTAAAATTTATACAATAAAAAAGTCAACAAAGTCAGAACAGCCGTTTCACAAACGAATGAACGGTCATCGTAGCGACTACCAATGCAAGCCAGACCTCCCTCTCAGTCGACATTTGAGATCCCCTGGCCACACTAAGGCAGATCTCAATCGACTGACCATTACAATCATTGACCACAACTCTGCTTGGTCTAGGGAGGATAGACTCACTCGGGAAAGATTTTGGATAAGAAAATTAACAACTTTGGCACCAAATGGGATAAATGAAAAGATGTAGTTCGACTCCATGCAGTGCTTCACATTTGGGTTATATTACTTATTATTACAGTCTCTGTTTCTATTTCTTTACTTTACTCATCTCGAAAATCTGTTGAATATACCAATTTAAATTGCTTAATTTTTTGAGGGATGTAAAAGTGCCAATCCACGTTCAACTAGTTAACCTTAGTCAAAATTTATTATCATATTTTAACGGCCGTTTGTTTGCGATGTTTAAATACGCAGACTCTGTTGTAACTACTCTACCGTTGTCAAATTTGAAATATTTACAAATTTAGATCGTTCAGTGCTGTTTATTTGGAATTCTTATTGACGCAATCGTTCTTGTAACATCATAACTGTCGTCACCGTTAAAGCTTTAGAATTGTGCTAGTTCATATCGCACATTATTATTTTCATTTAAAGCATATATTTGAACTCTCTGCTGTAATTATTCATATAACCTATGTCGTGTTTAACACATATTTAGAATTGTGCAAGCGTCTTACCTGATGTTCGGTTTGACTTTTTTATTGTATAAATTTTAAGATTGTTATAGTTTAATTTAAGTAGACTGATATATGATTCATTCAACATCACAATCATATTTACTGATGAAGGATATCTATTATCCGAAATATTTATAAATAATTACATTTATAGTTCCTTTTTTTGTTATTGGTGTTGTTGTGTACACTTTTTAGGCGTTTATATAATTTATTTATTGTGTACATGTATCGTCACTCGTAACGATCCAGCGCCCTCGTGGGAAAAAACCGTTGACTATTATTCAGACGTTTTATATATATATACAAGTCTAAATTGAAAACAACGTTCAAACCTATGATTGCGTTGGATAAAAACCGCAGTTTTTATACATGTGCATGCAAAACAAATTTTTTGTTAGAGGGGTTTAAATACAAAACAAACAACATTTTCCAAAAGACCAAAAAAGTGAAAAGGATATTTCAACAAAACGCATTTGACTAACAGGTCGAACAACAAATGTTCTTAAACCCTGCTGACTGCCATTGGCGATTGCCAAATAAACGGATCACCGATGTTATAAATGGATCTTAATTATAAATTTAATACTAAACAGAAAACAATAAACTTGCGGAAAAGATGATATACCGCAAACAAAAGGTGCAAAGGTTTTTGTACACCATATCCGGATTTCGACAATTAATGTCTCTTCAGTGATGTTAGGAATCGAAACGGTATTTGGAAAGCCATATAATTTACATCAATTTAGGATAGACTCTTGAATTTTGAGGAGTCAAAATAGGATGAACGGATCATATAAACCCGAAGGCAAATATAATACAAGCCCAAACGAAAAAAATATAAACAAGTCTAAATTGAAAACAACGTTCAAACCTATGATTGCGTTGGATAAAAACGTTTTTATACGTGTGCATGCAAAACAAATTTCTTGTTAGAGGGGTCTAAATACAGCACAAACAACATTTTCCAAAAGACCAAAAAAGTGAAAAAGTATATTTTAACAAAACGTGTGTGTGTGTGTGTGTGTGTGTGTGTGTGTGTGTGTGTGTGTGTGTGCGTGCGTGTGTGTGGGTGGTGTTTTATGTAAGTGTGTGTGTGTTAAATAATATAAGATTGGAACTCGGATGTCTTGGAACAATGTTTTTTTTTTTTATTTAGGAAAAGTCGTAGGTTTGAAATGTGATCACGAGAAAAGAGACCGTATAAGGATCAAAATAACACAAGTACTACAGAATGATTTAGAACCTCCGCTCAATACAATCCATTACAGTGTTGATTTTGTACCGGTATACAAAACAGATGAACATCATAAAGGTAAAGTGAACAGATTATGTTATTCTTGTTGCTAAACGATAGAATTTCAAGGTAAGACATGAGAAGATAGCTCTAATAATGTACTTTCAGAAAAGAAAACCGGGGTTACGAGACTAGTTTTCTTGCTACAAAACAAACCAGATAAATTCATAACACATTCTTTTATTAAAGTTACATTATCTGAGTTTTCGGTGTTCCCACTGTCTGTATCACTCTGTGCAGCTCTGAATACTGCTTCATAAGACGCGACGTCAGATACGTTAAATAGAGAATATCATATGGCTTTTTCAATATCACACCCGTATCAACCCGAGACACCAATATATATATGATCTTATCGTCCTTCCCTACGCCTATATTACCCTGCTCAGTCGCTCCGTAATTCTCGTATCACGGCTTTGAGACGAGAGCAGGCATTATCAGCGACGTCACAAAGTCTGAGGAGAAGTTATCAGCGACGTCACAATGTGTGAGGAGACGTTATCAAGCTTGCTTTCGTCAAGCGTAAAACTGTCTTAGGGAGGGGGAACAGACCAGTCATAGAACAATAAACAGATAATTGGGGTTTCTTCGTATAGATATCGTAAAATATCAGCCGCTCGACACAATGTGAAGCTTTTTAGCTGCGCTCACTCACCGAAAAGGTTCACATTGTGGCTCTAGGCTGATATTTTACGATATCAATGTGTAGAAAACCCGATAATCTATACATATATATATAATCCAAAGAGCTCTACTCGAGGGATTATATTGGTTGAGGGTTGATACGGTGTGTGATATTGAAAAAGCCATATCATTAACACTTTATTATATACCTCAAGTAGATGTTTTTTATGTAACATGACGTCATACAGATTAGGGGTTTGAAATGACGTCCTACAGATTAGAGGTTTGACATGACGTCATACAGATTAGGGGTTTGTTAAAGCCTGTGCAACCAACAGTGACTGAAATCGATGACGTGACGTTATACAGATTAAAGGTATGATAAAGCCTTTTCAACCGTGCCTGATATCGTTGACCGTATTACACATACAATTTATCTGTATTTACTACTAAGTATATAATAAACTGGCCTAAACATCTTTGACCCGGACATATTACAGAGTCATAATGAATGAACCGACGTTTAAAGTTTGTCCAGAACTTATCAAGTTATGTTCCGTTTTGGTAGTGAAACAAAGAAAAACACTTGTTGCAGTCATGCAACATACACAAATACACAATCTGTTAAATCGATTATCAGATTTTTAGTCATATTTCATTGAAGTTATATTGTAAAATATTATCTGCTTGACGCAATATGAATCCTTCTTGAACTTGCGCTCACTCGACAAAACGCTTCATAGTTTTACAACATCAATATGCAGACAACCAGATAATCGGTAGTTGAAAAAAATTGAATCAAACAAAAAGATTCTGTTTCTGTAAAAAAAAAACCCCAAAAACAATCGTTAAAATATGATAAAACAAATAATTTTCTTCATTCAGATGAACAGTTTTAACAAATGAATTTCTGCGGTTTAACAATCGAAGAGGGAGGAAGACACGTACGATTTTAAAATGTTTCAATAAAATGAGCCATAAGTGACATCAGTGGCTGTTAAATTAAAAAAAAAGATTACGATTTTTACTCAATCCCTTTCAGATGACGTCGAAAATTCTAGTGCACAGGCACAATTATAAATATAAAGAGACAAACTTTTCCGCAGCAACGCTTGATAGAAGATAAAAGTCTTAATCGCGGCTGGCATTCGGTATATCGAGAAAAATGTTCGTGAAAGAATGATTACCGGTGATAAGCATTGCGATCGGGTCGTGTAAGAACCCGTTGTATAATCAAAAGGCGGGAAAAATCAGAAAAAAAGAAATATTGTCTGTCAATATGGTTGAACTTATGCGTAAGGGTTGTTACGCCCATGGCAACGTACGCTACCATCAGTTATATGGAGATTCATTCATAGTACCAACGTATGATTCATGCATAACAGAAGACGCTTATCTTGTGTGGAAAAATCCGATATCGCTCAGTTTGGAGATAAGTTATCATAAGGTTTTTTTTTCTCCTGGTTTTTTATCTTTAAAATAAGATTTTGGTTTAAAGGGATATTCAATTCATTTGCACCAAACACACATCGCTTGTAATAACAGCTGACAATGTCTTACTCTGAGCCAAAATCAAATGTTCTGATACAGTAATCCTGCGAACTGTTTTTTTTTTTGCCAGCTCGAACATAAAACAATTCAGCTCGGCGTATTTAATACATTTAAGGCAGGTACGCTCTTCTATTTGTTTCATCGTCGCTATTAAAACTTTACTTGGCATTGAACTTGAGGCCAGAGACCAAAATGACGCATAAGCTAACAACTATAGGAATCAATTTTTCTCGATTTTCTCTAATATTCCGTGACCGTGTTTAACCATACATTTGGTACTTTTTTTGTCCTTTCTGTTCTTCAGCGTTTGTATTAAGTTTTGAACTTCAAGTATTTTGACTTTTTGCACCACTGAATAGACATTTATTGTCGAAATGCGCATCTGATACAGTAACATTGTTACCGTTAATGTTATTATTGGCTAACACTCAAAATTAAAAAAATCAAATAATATTAAAAAAATCCAAATACGACTTTTACAATCTCGACATTTCGGTCATTCGACATCTGACTCAATCTAAACTTCAAGTAATATCTAAATAAAAATTGTAAGTTATGACATAAATTTATCTTAAACTAGCAAACTTAAAATTTCAACCCAAGAAACGGAAGGGGAAACATTTTGTGCTGTAACAGTGTAAAAGAAAAAATGTTATCGACAAACAAAGTTAAATTTCCTAAATTCAAGCTTTGAAAACTTTTATAAACCATATCTGTGCTGCCTGCTGATGAGTCCTGAGTGCAAATGATCATTCACTTATACATACCAGTAATTTTAGTAAGTATAAATTAATTTTTATGCCCCCGCCATAGCGGAACGTATGTTCCAAAGTTTGTTTCCGTTCTCTACTTTTAGTTTGCTTCAAACAAATGTTATGATACTTATACACAATGCTTATTACCACAAAATACAGATCAGGTTTGAATTTTGGTGATGTCACTTAAAGTTATGACCCTTTACAAATGGAAAAATGGCTGAATTTTTTCGTTTCCGTCCCCTTATTTAGGTTCGCCTGAACCAAATGTTATGAAACTTATACACAATGCTTATTACTACAAAATACAGATCAAGTATGAATTTTGGTGGTGTCACTTTAACTGTTCTAGAGTTATGCCCCTTTACAAATGAACAAAATGCTGAATTTTTCGTTTCAGTTCTCTAACTTAAGTTTGCCTCAACCAAATGTTATGAAACTTATACACAATACTTATTACCACAAAACTCGGATCAAGTTCAAATTTTGATAGCATCACTTTTACCTTTGTCAGTTATGTCCCTTTATAACTTTATATGATATGCAAGCGGGGGCATCATCTGTGTCTCATGGACACATTCCCCATTTATTTTAATCCTTTTGTCCGTCAGTTCTGTGCATATCTAAAAGAATTTTAATCAGTTTGTAGGAGTTATGAGCATCTGTATTGGTATCTGCCATATCTGGTATATTGTCGTTACTTAAAACCGTAATATATCTTTATAGAAACAATTTCCACATTTAAACAAAATCTTTTACTATAAATGATACTGGGAAGATCCTGAACAAATTTTCAGTTTTATGTGGACAAACCCAAGTAAGAACATAAATAGAACCATACAAATATTACATGCATGCAGGTTCTCGGACACCATCTCGCATACTAAAATCATATCGTGCAGAAATGTGGTCCTCTTCTGATTTTGAGTTTGTGCTGCTATCCAAAATCAAAATTGTGGAACATATTTTATCAGAATCATTTGGCAATCCAAAGCACACTCAGCTAGCTGTGTTCCCTTAACGGATCATTTTTAAAAATGTTAATGTATTCACATAGAAGTTATTTCAAAGTTAAAATGTTGAAAGAAAATCCTCCAATGGAACATTGCACATGCACAAAATTTATTTACAGGAATGTACATATTATATACACGAAGCACTCATAGTATGTTGGCCAATATGTAGATTTGATATTAACAGCAATGTCTAGCTAAATAAAATCTATGAAGGGTCGGCACTTATTCAAATTAGTGTCTCCTCCATGACAGTCTTGAACATTAAAACTCAATACTTAATAAAAGACACTGCTACTTTCAGTGTTTGGTATAGGTTGGCTGTAACTGTGCACATCAGTTCAACAAAGAACTCTATGGGGAAAACCCAGAGAAATCTTTTTGTCAGAAAACATTGTCAAACATCCAAACATACTATCCACACTGATCTGTGTCCACACTTGTAAACTTTATAAGATATTTTATAAACTTTAGAAGATATCTTATAAAGTATATAAGATATCTTATAAAGTATGTAAGATATTTTATAAAGTTTATAAGATATCTTATAAAAACTAGATTATAAAAGATATCTTATATATTATATGAGATATCGTATATATTATATGAGATATCTTGAAGTTAAATAGTTGAACGTCTTGCCATATGTTAATGTTTTTGTTCGTTGTTTTGTACTTTGTATCGATCTGATGAGTCTAGCCCTTTTTTCCTGAATTTCATAGTTTCTTCTTATGTTGTGCTATTACACCACTGTCCAAGATTCATGTTTAACTTAGCCACATTTGATGAGCCTGTAATTCAGATGTGATCGTTTGTTACTGTATATCAAATTTGTTTCCGTTTGTTGTTTTGTACATAAATCAGATGGTTGGTTTTCTCGTTTGAATTGATTTACATTTTATCATGTCGGGGCCTTTTATTGTTTGCTATGCGGTATTGGTTGTGCTCATTGTTGATGCGGTGACCTATAGTTGTTAATATCTTCATCATTTGGTTTCTGGAGGATAGTTGTCTCGTTGACAATAATACAACACATCTCTTTAATTTATACAGAAGGTATAATTATTTGTTTTTC